CCCCGGCCCGCCGCCACAGCCGCGGGCACTACTCACCAGGAACCAACTCCTCGGGCTCCCCCATGACCAAGATGGTACCAGAAGCCTGCTTTTGGTCGGCAGCAGGAACGACTTGGTTGCACCTAAAATAGCTGTTCTGCTTCATCACGGATGGCAGAATTCCCGTAGACCCCCATTATGAGTCTCCAGGCATCGACCACCAACGCCTTCCCGGAAGTCAACACACAGCCGCTAGGGGCAACGGAGGTGGAACCTTGGCCTAGGGGCGGGGAGGAAAGTGGCCTGGAGGCCTTTGCGGATGCCGGAGCACTCGCAGCGGGCGAGGCGATACTGGCCGCACGCCCTCTGGTGTCCTGGAGGGGCAAGATGGCCACGCGGCGCAGTGATCCTCTTGAATGTTCACGCTTATGCTGTACACCCCGGCCCGCTGGAACCACGCCATAATAGTGGTAAACGTCACAAATACCACATACGCTCTTGCTTGAGCTTGAGCTATGTGACACAAAACGTTGGCACACAATTATGATGATCTGGTAAGGTTTGGTATTTGGTTTAAACTAAGGCTGGGCATACACAAGATGCGCAGTACATATTTACAGACTAGAATGGATTATATTACACCCCGTTAGGTTACCCCCCATACAATTATGTTAATGTTACCCCCCAAGATTATACAGTGGGAGAGCTGGAGTCCAGTTTAGCCAGTCCAGCCTGCATCAGCACTTGGCTGTCATAAAGTGCCCAAATGCCATCCTCCGTGATGAGTAACATTATGTCCATTGTGGTAATTGTGGACACTGACCCTAGCATCAAAGCTGGATTCAAGAATCCATGAATTCCTTGTGTCTACTAGAGCGTGTTATATGTACTCTTTCTCGGGGAGTTTGGGCAATCTAATCCCATAGTGATCGTCATTGTTATGTGCCCTCCAGTCAGACCTGACTCATAGTGACACCTCCTTGGGTTTCCAGGCGGTAACACTACAGAAGTAGATTGCCCAACCTTCCTTCTGATGAGTGGTTGGTGGGTTTGAACCGCCACCCTTCTGGTTAGCAGTCAAATGCCTTAG